CCAATCAAGCCTGCTATTGTCATTCACCTGCTATTGCCATTCGACATCTGAAATCACCTTTATAAAGTTTATATCTGTTAACTTGTGTTACATATTGTAGTATGCATGGCCCGGCCCAACAAAGTGACATTTATGTCAGATCTGGCTTTTGTAACAAATGAGTTCTACACCTGTGCCCTATCAGATGTTAAAATATAAGACAGTCTCCTTAGCTTTAGGAAGTTACAGATCTCTACTGAGTAGCCATTATCTTGAAGCTTTCTCCAGTTCTTCAGGCCATCACATGGCTAATGGCTGCCTCCTCCAGACTTCAGTTAAGAGTTATGGCTACTCTGATGGACTCAGCACCAAAGAAAGACCTTCTTCCTTACTCCTCTGAATTTTATCACCTCTCTCTTTCACACCCACTGACCAGGTCAGGCCAGGTCAGAAAAGCTTTTCCTGAAGTCTCCAGAATTTCCTTCCTGAAATCTCTTTAGTATTTAACACCTCCAAATCTCTGTTCCCTGCTTGAAGGGGTGGGAGCTTGACCATCCCATTGTCTAGACCTATTAGCATTTGTATGAAGGTGAGCTGAGGTAACTCTGGAAAGTAACTGAACTAATTTTCCCCTTCCTGCCTGTTCTCTGACCAGAGAGAGAAAAACTTTTAAGAGAGTGAAGGTTTTGCTCATTTCAAATCTCCAAAGAAAAAATGAATTTCTTCACAAATGCCAACTCCAAATTCAAAGTGGATAAGAATGGAATGGTCAACTGTATCAAAGGCCACTGAGAGGTCACCTGTCCAACTTTAAATGAAGATTGGCCACCAATGCAATCAAAACCATCTCAGTACCAAACCCAGGCCTGAAGCCAGGTAGAAATGGGTCAAGGGAAGATGTGTAATTCAGGAAACTCTGGAGCTGCTCTGCCACCACATGATCTATCACCTTTCTTTAAAAAGATAAATTGGAGACTGGCTTTGTAATTGGTCACCTTATCTCTAGCCAGTGAAGGTTTCTGAGCAGAGGTCTAAACTGCCTCCTTCAAAGGCCTAGGGAGAGTCCCTCAATCAGGGAGGACCAGATGATTTTCACTAACGGCACCAATATCTTTTCCCAGCAAGATTTTAAAAACCATGATGGACATAGGTCCAGAGCACAAGTAGTGGCCCTTCCAAGGACCCTGTGAGCATCCTTTAAGCAGGATCAATCTGAAACTATCCGTAAGAAAAGGTCAAGCAGATGCATCTGAGGTACTGGATCTGCCCTCAACTTGGCCTCCAAGTTGGAATAGATGAGATTTTGACAACAAAGAACCTTGCAAAAACATCACAGCTGGGGGCCAAATTTTTATTGCCTGCAGGGTCAGACTTAGGTGTTATCAAGTCGTGCACCACTTTGAACAAGTGAGTTGGACAAAGTTCTGCTGACGCAATGGTGGCAAAGAAAAAAGTCTTATTTGCTGCCATCACCACCACCTCATAGGCCTGTAAATGGCCTTTATGACATGCTTTGTCTGATGCAGCCTTAGTCTTCCACCAATGTCACATCTTCCAGTCTGCTTCATTTCACCTGATAAACGAAGGAGCTGTGAGCTCCACAGAACACTGAAGGGGACACCAAGGAGCAACTTCCATAACCCCAGCCAGCCCATCATTCCATGCAGCTACAAGGGCCCCCACAGAGTCATCAGGATTGCTTTCAAAATCCCCTCACAGCCACTTGGAAACCAGGATCCATTAATCAAGGGCAGACCATTCGAATTGGTCCACCACCTCTGCAGGTAGGAGGCAGCAAGCTCAGCCATGCCTTCAGAAGATAGTTATCTGACCATTACAATGGCCAAACCTCCAGTCCCCAATCAGATCGCCAGCAAGCCCCTTGGTACAGAAAAGAAGGCCCAACATATGTCCTTCTCATGAGCTGGGTCCATTACAATCTGAGACAGATCCATGGTTGTCATCATGAGGCCCTGAGCCTGACCTGAAAAGGCAGCCTCAGCATGTATGTTGAAATCCCCAGGGACAACCATCCTCAGGGTTCTCAACACCAAGTCCAAAACCACCTCCATTTGCTCAGCCAGAGACCCTTCTGGTAAGCTAGGCAGATGGTACACCAGCAGGATCTGTAATCTGTCTCTGGTGTCCAACCCAAGGTACATACAATCAAAGCTGGTCTCTAGTTGCTGTAGATTTTCCGGGTTGTGTGGCCGTGGTCTTGGCATTGTAGAACCTGTGAGCCTGAAATTTCCTGCACTAAAGGAGAATAAGTGGAGACCATTCATGTGGAAAACTGCATTCAGAGAAGTTGCTGGCGTATGCATGTGACACCGCAAGGTACTGCTGCTTATTTTAACCTTACAATGGCAAAATTCAGCCAGTGCAGGAAGGTGGATCCTGGGAAGCACCTTTCTGTACATACAGCACAGACTCTTGAACTAGCAAAATGTCTTGCAGCAGCAGTCTTCCACACTGAAACTGTATCCACTACAGCATAGGTTCGTAATACAGTTGGCCAGGCATGTAGGGCTATGCTGGAGGAGCAATACAATAATGATCACAAGCCTGTTACACTACAATTCTGAAGAAAAACCTGGGAAAGGCATATTTCAGATGAATCAACAATAGAAGGAAGGTGAGATGTTGCCTGGCAACAGGTGCCAAGCTAAGCTTAGGCACCTGACAATTATCAGAAGCATCTTGCATTTCCTCCACACTGTATCACCAGACCACATAAGCCATGATTCTGTGGGGATATTCTGTGAACAGAAACTGATGGTTCTCTGA